CATGTCATAGGACCAGCCTATAAAAGGGTTGCGAGGGCTGCCATATTTTCTCACAAATTCACCCCAACTTTCTCTCTCTACTTTCTCTCACTACCCCTAACCCCCTCCTAAGCCTAGGTAAACCCCTAGCACCCAAGGGAAGCCCCGAGGCTCCCAGAGTCTGGAGAAAAAAGGTCTTTTGGTTTTGGAAACGCTGCTCAGAGCAAAGCCTAGTTTTCTTTAAATTTCGTTGTAAGTGAGCTATGCTTACGTAATTTTTAATATGACTTTCAAATAATTATAGTAATGTTATTAGGTCCTTAAAATAATTATTTGGGCTATTATTATGAGTTATATAAGTATCGTTTAACACTTATATAATAGTAATAATAGTCAGACTATTAATTAGTCGTGGTTATCGTTAGACTAAACCCTAGTGGTATTAATACTAGGTTTTATCAAAGGAAAATTGTTTTGAGAGTATCAAAGCGCCATCCGAGTGCTGAGTCACCTCCGTATCAGGTGAGTGCATGGTCCCTTTCATCTTAAACATATATATGAAATATTTTAATATAAATTACGTGCTATGTGTGCATATTGTCTGAATACTTGTTGTCTATGCTGGTGAAAGATTTTTATATATGTTTTAAATGATGTAAATTGTATAAAGTATTTTATATCTACAAAATATATTGGGTAAAACATGAGTAGATGAATGATGAGGGGTATAAGCTGAAATAAAGGAACATTAGTAGTATAGACCTAGTGCCCCATAGGTAAACATTGACAGCAATGGACCTAGTACCCTATAGATGAGCAGTGGTAGCTGCGCCACAACCCGTAGATGTTTTAGATCTACGGTAAACGTCCTAGCAGTTGCGCTCTAAGGACGGTATTTGCAGCTGCGCCTAATAGGGAACCTTATGACCATGACAGTAGCGTTTAAAGGTCAATATCGACATAAGTGCCTCATAGAAAAAGTCCCCAATTCTGGCAGGTGCGCCCAACTGATAATATTAGCAGCTACGCTTGACCACTATGTCATTAGCAGCAAATGGACTTCATGTGGTTTCATTAGGATGATCCTTAGGAATGAGTGAACAAGGGTTAGCTGATCCTTAGGGTAAATCCTAAAGAAGATAATGAGAATGGGTAATTAGGTTGATTGTTTGATTTTTAAATATAATAATTATATTATTATGGGTTGAAAACCCTATGTACTCACCAGATTTCCCAACCCGACCCACTCAGTTTAAATGGATGTAGATCACTAGTGTAAATGGATGTAAGTTCGGTTTATGCTTATGTTTCTGTATTGACGATGACATCTCAAATGTTTTAAAAGTGAATAAAAATACATTTATTTAGAAATGCTTTGATAACGCAATTATCGTGTTTTTTCTGGGAACAAATTCCGCAACATTTTTATTAAAAGAAGTACTATGATTTTTATAAAGCATAAACAAAAATCAGTCTTTTCTGACCGTGAAAATGAGGATATCACACAGATGGTGAAGGTAGTCAGAGTTTTGAGAGATATAGCGATAGAAGGAAAGAAGGGTCAACTGGGGGGTTATCTGACGCAACTCAATAGCAGGGACGGACAATAGCAGTGACAAGAGAGTTTTAGCGACGACATAGTGGTTTTGGTGGCGACACACCTGGAGGGAAAAGGAAGTGCGTTTTTTTGGAATTCACGACCGTCAGATTGAATACAGATCAAACGGCCAGGGATTGTTTCAAGCGGATCGCCACCGTGTCAGTAATAGCGGCGACACCTTTAGTGGTGACGCCAAACAATAGCGGCGACATGTAATGCGTCAATTACATGTCGCCACTATTGCTTGGCTTCGCCGCTAAAGGTGTCGCTGCTATTGCTAACATTTCTTGTAGTGATAAACCAAGAAGTAATAAACACACAACAAATTTGGATTTTTGGAATTAGAACAAAATGTGATCTCTTGTTGCAGTTTTTAATTTTAATGTAAGCTCCTGGAATTTGAACAAACTATGGTCTTTTGTCTTTGGGTTATTGGATTGTTGATTGTTAGAAAATAGACTCAATCATACATAAAATTGTCCCTCCTTAACGACATGGATCTTGTGTTGATGCCCACACCATCCACCCTTAAAAACACTCATGCCTGAATACCCTTAATTTAGAGTTATTTAAAAGCTGCAAATTTAGTTTTTATTTTTATTTTATTTGTTTGCAATAACAAATTCCAATTTTGCAGGATATTATTATTTTTCGAAATATAACATATGAAAATATGACTAGCGATTTAAACAATTCATATACATTTATCTATTACAACTTAATTAATCAAAAACTTAATTTAAAATATAAAATATTTTAGTTTTACTTATCATATATAAACTATATTTACGATTTACCTATTTCCTATAGGAATCTTTTAGTTATATTTTAGCCTACAAATAGATTGTCATTGCAATACAATTGTGTAAGACTTGTTTTATTTTCTAAAATAAAAAAATAGTAAACAAACTTAAACTAAATTAGAAATCAAATATTCCCTATTTTCTCCCTACAATCAGGCCTTATATATAGGTGTTAGCAGCATTTATTTTCTCCATTGAAAAAGAAAACCCTAATTATTAATAATATTTACTAAACCCATCCCCACCCAACACCACTTTCCACCCCCTCGATTCTAGACATTCAATTAAAACAATGCATATAAGATATAAATAATGTATATAAGATATAAGAAATTCTGAGTCTAATTGATAGTATCATTTTTTTCATAGTGACGGAGGTTACAATAGTTGGCAGACTTATTTCAATCAAAATCATCTAGTTGGACTACCTCTAATGAAGTGACCATGGGCAAAATTTCTTCGTCGAGAGGCTGCCTCACTCCTGTTCATCTACTTAAGGGTCCCGTTCAGGGCAAACATGGGTCTCAAGAAACATTAGAAACCCATTGTTGATCGATTTCAAACAAAATTATATAGTTGTAGGAATGTCAAAACTTTATAATTTGGAGGCCTTATAACCTTAAACAACTATGTTTTCGGTAGCCTTCCCATCTATTATTTCGTCCTATTTAATTAAAGCACCCTCGTGCATTATTGACGCGCTTGAAAAAATCGGTAGACGACACTTGTGGAGAAGCAATGAAAGGAAATCGAAAATAAGTTGTGTGTCATGAGCTAAGGTTGTTGCTCCCAAAGAAGGATGTCTTGAATTCGGAAACCATAGGGACATATACATCCTCGACTCGTAAAATGATGGTGGTATATGAAGACTTGAACACAACTCACTTTTTGATGTCAAGTTAAAGAATTTACAATCGAAACGCAAAAACAAAAGAAACCATGTCGAAAAAACTATCACACGGACTTGCATCTAAGATGAAATATGCGAGCAACCCTAACTCTTTCATTAGATTGGACATTTCTCACTTCGCAACTATATATAAGGATATTATAGAGTTTATACATCATGGATAATCATACGTGTATTAATGTTAAATTAAACTTAGCATCCACCGATTTGATTCGTTGGATTAAAGTGCACACACGTTAAGATAAAACTAGAATTTAAAAACGTCGAAAATTAACTTAGAAGTTTTTTATACCGATAAATTTTAATTTCTTCAAGAAATACCATAAAGATTATACATTTGGAACATCAAAAAGATTTATTTTCATATTTTTTAAAAATACTCGAAATAACCATTTTGAAAATTGTTGTCATAATACTCAAAGTTGAGTTATTTTCCAAATTTTTGTGTCGTTTGTTTGAATATCTCTAAAAAGATTGTATTGCCAAGTGACAAGCTTTAGATTGAAGCTCAATCCCCCATGCATGCACATTCCTTCCTTTCTGTAGTTCTTCTAACTTCCAACACACAACGTACAACCACTTCATGCACACCTCACCTTTTGTCCTCCCTATAAATACCACCCACACCCCACACTATCAATTATATTATTGCATATTTCCAAATAACACTTCTATTTACAAAATGGAAGAAGCCATGAGAAGACTCGCCGGATACACACCCTCATCAGAATCTGACCTCTTTCAAGCACCCTCCCCCTCCGTCCAAAAACGTTGCAGCAACACCACAACCACAAACTCCGCCGCCAACAAGAGGCTAGCACTCAAAGAAGCTAATGGAACCAACGGTTCCATGAGATACCGAGGCGTTCGCCGCCGCCCCTGGGGTCGTTACGCCGCCGAGATACGCGACCCGCAGTCGAAAGAACGTCGGTGGCTCGGGACTTTTGACACAGCGGAGGAAGCTGCATGTGCTTATGACTGCGCCGCCCGTGCCATGCGTGGCAGCAAGGCTCGAACCAACTTCGTGTACCCTCCTCCGCCTAGCGATAGTCTCTTAAATCCTTTCACTTTCAACAAGACCCAATCTCAACCTTTATCCTCCTCACCTTACGAAAATTTTCCGATGCCGACGTTACAGCGGAACACTTCGTTTAACTCTCTTCTCTTCCACGATTTCTTCAACTCCGGTTCATCTTCATCGTTCTGCAACTCTGGCGCTGCTTTGTCGGGTTGTACATCGACAGGTTCTGCACACGCTTCAAAAACTTGTACGGCCATGCCGGTTCTGTCTAATCAAGACGAGTACAAGGAGTTCTTCCCTTCGGAGTCGGATCATTCCGGTTTACTAGATGAAGTGTTAACCGGGTTTTACCCGAAGCCGGAGAAACAAGCCAAACCTGATCTAAAAGCTTTGTCTGGACCGGAACCGGTTCATGATAATAAGAAGACACTTGAATCGAACCCTTTTGGTTTATTTTTTGAAAACCCTAACAGGATCTCGTCTGCACCTACAAACAGTCACCACAACCAGCTTGGATTTGAGCAGAGCTTCAACGGTGGTGGTGGTGGTTTTCCGTTCTACAGTCATCATATGGCGCCGGCGCCGGTGTCTTTTGAGAATCAAGAAAGTATCTTTGCAGATGTTTTTCAGTATCCAGATATTGTCGGTTTGTTTGCTGCTAGACTTCAAAATGCTTGAAGAAACCTATGATGTTTCTTTATATAAGCTTTTGTTCTTTTGGGTTCACCGATTATAAGAATTAATGAAATATAAGATAAGTAAGTAGTTTTCTTGTTGATTCTAATGTTAATCAAGAATATCTTCGGTCTAGATCGCTTTTCTTTACCCGTTCTAATTGTCGATTTCGAACAATATTATCAAAAAAAGCTTCCTCTAAAACATAATTCGATGCTAGATGAAATATCATATTTTTGTGGTCATGTTGGAAGCTTCAAGTTTCATAATTCATCACCTAGGATTATTGCAGATCTATTTTTGTTTGTAAATCTTATAAAGTAAATCAGTATATATTCAAAAGATCGTCACGTTTATATGTTGTTGATTTCAGATTAACAAAAAAAAGTGAATTTGCATGTGTTTTTGAAGATTATACATACGCCTTTTATATGTTCAGATTTGAAGATAATAGATTAATCATATATTCATATTTTTATTACAAACCGAATGTTTGTACATAGGTTCTGTTTGCCAAAAATAATACATAAAATGGGGCTTCGGAGTGTTCCTAGATTCGGGGAAAAAGTTGATTGTTGAATCTCCTTTTTCCTTGAGTTGACCTTTTAGTTGATGATATAAGAACGTGAGGAAGCTTTTTCGGATCAAGCTTTTTGGCCTTTTTACTTTGTACATCTTTTGTTCATTCAAAATATGGATCATACGTGATGATGGCCAAATCTTTTTGTTGTACATCTTTTGTTTATTCAAAGCTTCCACACATGTGGATAGTGGAAAGCTTGTAAGGGTACAATTGTCAATGTACTCGAAACATTCGTAACCCAAAATCCCTATATAATTAATATATTGTAATATTAAACAAGAGTAATTCATTAAAATGATTTGATCGAGTCAAACCTATGTATTATATGGGTTTAATTAAAAAAATAAATATAAAATTTTAACAATTTGAAAAGTTGCAATTTATAAGAAAAATAAAAAAAATTTGAATTATTAAAATTAATAAGATTTTAATGTATTGATTGCATTACATATATAAATTCTTTCTAATAAATATTTTATATATATATTACCTTGCACATTAAATGTGGAATTTTAAATTAATAAAATTAAAAATACAGTAAAATGACAAGTGGAAAATAAAAAATTTAAAAAATCTATAAAAATACTATGTGTCCAAATGAATGAGAAGATGACATATGACTAAAAAACCTTCATTTATTATAATAGATTAAATTCATTTTTGTTCAACTATCAAAAAAGACAATTTGCCTCGTTACATAAATATGTATGATCTACCTTTTATTTATATTTTTTGTGCCACATTTTTCATAAACTTATCAAACATTTACCAGGGTTGTTTTATTTTGGCAAAATAAAGTTAAATGAATTAGGTGTTGTTTGTTTTAAAAAACCTCTTCTTAAATGGTTTCGGGCTCAAAAACCTTTTCCCGTCTCTGCCCCAAGCAACATTGAAATTGCCTTTCCTCACCTCTTCCTAACCTAAACCTAAAAGAAAAAAAGAACTGGACATACCATTGAAAAAGAAACGTCGCTCAATCTATCTCCCATCGTTCTTCCTTTCCCATCGAGTTGTTGCAGCAGCTCGCACGTTGCCAGTCGCCATGGCTGCTCCACCTTAGTCGATTTTATCCTCCACCCTTATTGATTTTATGTTCGCTGCTCCAACATGTATGTTTGTTCTTCCGATTCAGTTCTTGAAATCGACAGCTGTTGTAGAAATGAATTGTTCTTTTTAGCAACATTTATATGTTTATGAAATCAATTGTAGTTATATGTTCTTGAAATCAATTGTTTTTCTAATTTTCTCGTTGAAATCATCAATATTTATATGTTGATTTTCTGATTTGCTTGCAAATTTATGTTGATTTGATGCATGTCAATGAAAAGTCTGATTTTTGTTACTTTGATTTGCTTCCAACCATGTATATGTTTTCTTTCTTTGTTGAATTGGATGTCTAAAGAGTAAGATGGTTAGTATACATATAGTGGTAGTAATTTAAGAGGGAAACAAGTTGTGCACTACAGGTGTTCGATGAAATGCTTGATAGAACATTGAAGTTTAATTTAATTGCATTTTGTTTGGTCTTGCACATCTCTAGTAACAAATGCAAATGGTCAAATGTTATATGCTTGTAATCATAAGTATGCTCGTAAAAATATGATGTATTTATGTTCTTTGAAATCATACTTATATTTGTGAAGCAAGTGAAGCAAAGGTAAAGAGGAGCCAAAAGAATGTTGCTCAAACAAGCTTCTTATTACAGCTTGCAGTCATTTAGTCCACCCCTTCTACTGCAGATGGTTACAGAGGTGGTCCGAATAATTCTTGATTTTTTTTCTTCGAAAAAACAAACAACACCTTAGATACGATGTTTTCTCTTGATAGGAAAAGTGTGAGTTTGAACTCCCTGGAATCTTGTTTTCATTATTAGACAATAATAAATAAAACTTTACATATAAACATAAGATATTAATAATCAGTTAAGCTAATATCAATTTGTTACTCTTCTAACCACTTATGCCATGCGAAATACCATCCTGCACACCACGATGAGGTGAGATAGCAGTACCAACGGCAAAACTAGTTGGTAGCCATGGGTAGTCCGTTCTCCCTCTTAAAATCCTTGTAGAATTTTTTTTATATTACAAAGGTGCTTCTGCTAGATTGTCTAATGTTACTCCTTAGATGTTGCCGTTGAAGATGAAGAATTAGACGATTTTCTAACAGTGAAGATAAAGAAGAGCTAGTAAAGAGGAAACATAAGTGGTAACTGATAAAGGTAATTAGCATCCACATTTGGAAGTGGTTAGGGTTCAATGGTTTAATTTCACACATCGACCATGTAAACCCTAGGAATAACAACATTCAAGCCAGGGCAACAACTTCTTTATATATCAAATCCCTAATTTTCAACTTTTTAGTTTTATACCTTAACAATTTAAGTCTGAATATCAACGTGGGTTTGAATATCCATTCATAGATTGATGACTCAGTCCTCATAGATTTCAATGTGGGTTTGAATATCGAATTTGCTATTTAGATTGATGACTTAATCCTCATGGAGTTTTCTAGCCATCTTTTTGCCTTTCAATATTTCTTCTACTTGCTGGAATTTGATAAAAGGGCATTGTTTAGTTGCTTTGCCTAGGTCATTGAAAACCTTAGGATCGTCATGTGTAAACATAGTGACTCTAAAGCCACAGTAAAAACCTATGCTTCTTACATTTTTTTTTGGTTCTATATCTAACAAATTTCATTAGTTCCCCCTGGGTATTGTGGTGGTGCGGTGAAGCAGTTCTCCTCCCCCCCCCCCCCCCCCCAACAAACCATTCCCCCACATCACGTTCCTTCTTCTTGACTGGTGGAAACCCTAAAATTTTGTTTTTTTATCCACTATAAATAAAAAGCTTCTTCTATTTTAAACAACAAAAACAAACACCCAAAAAATTTATATTCTCTATATATCAAATTCAAAATGTCATATCATCACCCTCTTCGTCGGATGCATTGTTTGTGCGGGAATTGAAGTTTATTGGGAACGTTATACATACAATACTCACTTGTCTACAAGAAAATGAAGCTGGAAGTTCACATTCAAAAACTAGAAAAAATCATTTACAAATAAATCGTTTAGCAAGGCACAATCATCTTGTACAAGACTAGTTTGCCAATGATGTCCTCTATGTTGAAATTTTTTTACGTCGGTTCCAAATGGGAAAAGACATTTCTACGCATAGTTGATGATGTGAACGATCGATTTACATATTTTCAATTCAAATGGTATGTGAATCACATACAAGGTTTCTCTCCAATTGAAAAATATGGAATGACAATTCGCCAGGTAGCATTCAGCATGGGAGCAGACTCATGGGATGAGTATTTGAGAATGTCAAAGCGAATGACATATGAATGTATTTACAAGTTTGCTAAAGTCGTGATTATCCTCTACCACAATCGATGTTGGCACACACCTATAATTAATGACGTGTACCAATTATATACAAGACCTGAAAACAAGCACGTGTTACTTGTAATGTTTGGTAGTTTGGATTTTATTCATTGGAGGTGGATAATAGTCCCTAATGCGTGACATGGTCAATCATGTGAGTTAATAAAAAACAATCTATGATAATTTTAAATGTAGTGGCATAAAATGATCTTTGAATATGAAATGCATTTTTGGTGCACCGGGTTCCAATAATGTAACATCATGTTTCCTACCATTTTTGGGTCGTGGGCAGAAAGTCGACCGTGTAAGGATTTGGGCCTTAAGGAGGCAAATCTTAGTCCTTGTGGAAGGAGGTAATGATAGTTAATAGATTTAACCCTTAAATTGTGTTTTAGGCCGAAGGGTAAAAAGGGAAAAGTCATAGGTCGGGTTCTTGCATGAAATACAAATATTTTTTTTGAAGTTTTTAGTCCAAGATATTTAGATAATATTGTGGGGTTCTTCAACACCTTTCCGTGGATATAAACATCGTAAAAAACGGAGTTGGAACGATGAGATTACGTGTGACATCCCCAATTTCACGACCAGAAAAGATCGATTTGTTTATGCTTATTTAAAAATCAGAGCATCATTTTTGAAGAATAATATTGCGAAATTTGTTCCCAAAAACATGATAATGATATTATCAAAGCATTTACGAGGAAATGTATTTTATTTATATTAAAATGTTGGGTTGTCATCGTTAATACAGAAACACAAGCATAACGACCTATTACAAGGCTTACAGTAATTAAACTAGTGGCCTAATACTCCTTGAATCTCCCAGCAGAATGCATCTTTAATATTGCTACTTGTGATACAATAAATTGGGTGTGTCAGGTTGGGAAACCTGGTGAGTATATAGGGATTTCAATCTCAAAATGTTATAGTGTGTGTGTGTGTATATATATATACACACACACACACACAAGATACAATTTCACCTAATATAAGCAATTTACCCCACCCCGTTGATCCTCACAACAACAT